CTATCCATCTATCCCCTCTCCCATCCCCCCTAACCCCTCCCCTATCCCCCTAATCCCTACCTCGAACCCCTCCCCCTATCCCCTTAGCCCCTCCCTTATCCATATAGCCCCTCCCCCGTATCCCCCTAACCCCTCCCCTATCCCCCAAACCCCTCCCTCATCCCCCCACCCCTCCCCTTATTCCCCCACAACCCTCCCCCACCCCTCCCTCTATCCCTCCAAACCCCTCCCCCATCTCCCCTAACCCCTCCCCCTATACGCACAACCCCGCCCCCTATCCCCCTAACCCAGGGGTGGGCAATTTTTTTTGACTCGCGGGCCACACAATGGGTTCTAGAATTTGACGGAGGGGCCGGGCCAGGAACAGAGACGGATGGAGTGTTTGTGTGAACTAATATAAATGACGTGTTAAAAATCATTACGTGAAAGGATTTGGCCTTTTTAACAGGTAGCAAAGCATTTATTTGCAAGGCAATTGAACAAATTGCACGAACATGAGCAATACAAAAACGTGTCGTAACGTGACTGATCAAACATCGTGAAAACATCTGAGGCCTGTGCCCAAACCAACGACCTCACTTGAACTTCTTTATGATCTACATTAACAGGTTAGAAGCAGCCTCTACGCAGGCTGTGTGTCGGAGATTTGGCTCCAACCTCGCTGCAGCAACACATCATCACCGTCACTTTCAGCGGGAACGGTGTTGTTGATCTCCCATCGTTGCCAGTGCATCCAAGTCTGCAGTTATTTTGGTTGTGGCAATTCTCAGGATACATCTGAGGTTGCTGATCCGTTAACGTTGATCTGTGACGGCCCACAATGCATTGCGAGATCATGTGCCCTTTCGAGCCCTATACACCACACTCCCGGTCAAAGTGCGCCATCTAACGGGGAAATGGGGGCATCACAGGAGAAAGGTAAAATTTAATTTAATAATAATAATAATATTTGGACAAGTTCGGCGGGCCCTAACCCCTCCCTCTATCCATCTATCCCCTCTTCCATCCCCCCTAACCCCTCCCCTATCCCCCTAACCCCTACCTCGAACCCCTCCCCCTATCCCCTTAGCCCCTCCCTTATCCACATAGCCCCTCCCCTTATCCCCATAACCCCTCCAAAAACCCCACCCCCCTAACCCCTTCCTCTATTCACCTAACCCCTACCCCGAATCACCCAAACCCCTCCCGTAACCCTCCCTCACCCCTCCCCCTATCCTCTCAAACCCCTCCCCCTATCCACCTAACCCCTCCCCTATCCACCTAACCCCTCCCCCTATCCTCTCAAACCCCTCCCCCTATCCACCTAATCCCTCCCCCTATCCACCTAACCCCTCCCCCTATCCTCTCAAACCCCTCCCCCTATCCACCTAACCCCTCCCCTATCCACCTAACCCCTCCCCCTATCCTCTCAAACCCCTCCCCCTATCCACCTAATCCCTCCCCCTATCCACCTAACCCCTCCCCCTATCCTCTCAAACCCCTCCCCCTATCCACCTAACCCCTCCCCCTATCCACCTAACCCCTCCCCTATCCACCTAACCCCTCCCCCTATCCTCTCAAACCCCTCCCCTTATCCACCTAACCCCTCCCCCCTAACCCCCTACTCCCCCCTACCGCTCCCCCGATCCTCTAAAACCCCTCCCCTATCCCCTTCAACCTATCTCCCAAACCCCTCCTCCCCTATCCTCATCCACCCTGACCCCACCCCCAAAATCTTCCCTCCTCCCCTCCCCCTTAGCCCCGTCCACCAATCACAGGAAGCGAGGCCCCTCCCCCACAGCTCAATCAAACTCCAAACAGCCAATGGTAAGGCGCCCCCTACCCCCACCCATCTCAATTAACCCTAATTAGCATAATAGGCGGGGTGGGGCTATTTAAATGAGTCAATTCATTTATTATTTTCACTTCGCAAAACTTCGATGAGAGGCCAGACAGAGGTCACCGCACCGTTACTCGAATCGCGATGTTTTAAGTTGTTTTACGAAGTTATTGAGGCTTATATTTCTCAAGTGGATTCCTTTCTGAGGGAAAATATACTGTAATAAGTTAATTATTGTTGATAGTTTTGAGTTTTAATTTGACGTAAATTAACATAGTTTGTACTGTGCTTCGTTAACCGCCGCTTAATTACAATATTATGCGTGAGATTATTTATTATTAATTAGATTTTGTATATGGTCAGGTGTAAGATATCTGTAAATAAGACATTTACCACGTATTTTAAGTTAATTGTTTCAAATATTGCTAGTTTTTAAGTTATATAATTAGAATTAATGATATTGACACGTACACAATAGTGTATACAGTTATACAATATACACCAATATTAACATAAAATATACACAAATATACTCTTTTCGTATATACATATTCACGTATTACAAGATACATAAATATACTTATTTACATTTTATAATAAATACAAATATTTGCATATACACGTTCATATTCTAATTTACATGAATATTATATTTACATAGTATATACACAAATATACTGTAAACTATAGACACTCAATTACACACGCAGCTGTTTACACACATATACATACACACAGACACACACAGACATCACACAGACACATCACACACAGACACATACACATCACACAGACATACACACAGACGCATCACACACAGACACATACACACAGACACATACACACAGACATCACACAGACACATCACACACAGACACATTCACACAGACACATACATCACACACAGACACATACATCACACACAGACATACACACAGATACATCACACAGATACATACACACAGATACATACACACACATTCACACATACACACAGACACATACACATAGACACATCACACAGACACATACACACAGACACATACACACAGACACATACATCACACACAGACACATACACACAGATACATCACACAGACACATACACAGACACATACACACAGATACATCACACAGACACATAGACACAGACACATACATCACACACAGACACATACACATCAGACACATACACACAGACACATACACACAGACACATTCACACAGACACATCAGACACATACACACAGACACATCACACACAGACACATCACACACAGACACATTCACACAGACACATCAGACACATACACACAGACACATCACACACATCACACATACACTCATCGGCCGTGACGTCACGACTGCTCGTGCCAGGCTAGGTGCACGTGGACACGCCACACACACACACACCTCGAGATGCATATTCCACGTTAACTCGAGAGCCCCAACGTTGCACGGACTTTAACAGAAACCTTCGTGCCAAAGTAAACAAATTGAACCCTTATTGCAAACGTAATATTATTCTTACAAATACATAGTCATCACTTCTGACTGCGGGAAACGGAATGTCACGTGAGTACCAATTTGCATCTCATTAAACAATTTGCATCTCATTAGCGTTGGTTAATAAAACAAATCTTGCATATTTGGAATGTTACCACTTAAGTCAGGATTTTTTTTCCGGTTACCGCTATTTTTATATTTCACATTAAGGTAGGACCAAGCAAAGGTCTGGCAAATAAAGCGTACAATTGTTCACGCGACGTGTCTCTCGTCTCGTAGTAGTCGCTTAAAAAATAAAACAAATCGGTTTTATACATGACCGGTTTAACCGGTTTAAAATATTATAATTTGGTTACCGGTATTCGAGAGTTGATTTTTATGTTTGGTGATGATGGTGGTGGTGGTGATGATGGTGGTGGTGGTGATGATGGTGATGATGATGGTGGTGATGGTGGTGGTGATGGTGGTGGTGATGATGATGGTGGTGGTGATGATGATGGTGGTGATGATGATGGTGGTGATGATGGTGGTGGTGATGGTGGTGGTGGTGATGATGATGGTGGTGGTGATGATGGTGGTGGTGATGATGATGATGATGGTGGTGGTGATGATGATGATGATGGTGGTGGTGGTGATGATGATGGTGGTGGTGATGATGATGGTGGTGGTGATGATGGTAGTGGTGGTGGTGATGATGATGGTGATGATGATGGTGGTGGTGGTGATGATGATGGTGGTGGTGATGATGATGGTGGTGATGATGATGATGGTAGTGGTGGTGATGGTGGTGGTGATGATGGTGGTGGTGATGATGGTGGTAATGGGGAGCGGTGGCGCAGTGGTTAGCGCTACGCTGCGCTACGAACCCGTCTCTGACCCCAATTCGATTCCCGCTCACGGCCAACACCGGTGACGATTATCTGACGGTCCTGGGGCTCCCCTAGGTCGACTCGGCCTCAAATGGGTAACCTGGTGCGGTGTGTAGTAAACATCGCCACTGGGGAGACAAAGGCGGCCGGGTGTGGTTCTGGCCACCCACCTCCTCGTGTGCCGTGCCGGCCTGCAAACCTGCTGCTACTCGCTAACCGCACTTGCCCCTACAGTGTGTTAGAGGCCACACAGGGGGAATCTTTGTGTGTGTCTCTGTATCTCTGTGTCTCTATCGGCTGCTATTAATTCCCACACAATGAAGCCGCTGTGTTGAACTGCCATCATTTGTGGCCAGGTCGCTTCTGCAAGAATAAGTTGATAACCTCAGTGGGCCTTTGCCTGGTAAGATACACAATCATAATTATGGGGCCGTCCATAAATGACGTCACGCACCTGGGGGGGGGGCAGACATTTGTGACGATGTGTGAGTCAGTCATTTATAGACGGTCCCTTAGTTTTGTATATTTTAAAGAGCTTTATAGCTCATCGGATTCCTCCTGCAGTCTAAATACAACTCCCTGATTCTCTGTCTGTGCTGGGGTGTTGAACCCTCACGTCCCCCCCCCCCCCCGTGCAGGGATGCTGCCGCGCCTCGCACTGCTGATGACCCTGCTGCTGGGCGAAGCCGGCGCCCAGCAGCAGCTTGAGTCGTGCCGCCCTGGCACGGAGCCCAACTCCCTGCAGTGCTTCACCTTCCCTGCCGGTGGGGGGCCCCGCCCACACACCCCGACCCCCCACAGTGTCCATGAAACCAGAGGCCACCTGCCGGTGGACCCCTGGGTCTCTCGCTGAGCCCTACGGGCCTCGGTGCACCTCGAGGCCCTGTCGGTGATCTCACGCCCCCCACCCCCCTACCCCCGTGGTTGTCTCCGGCCTCGCAGTGGTGCCGGGGGGGGTGCTCCGCCTCGTGGTGTTTGGCCCGGCGCTGCCTCCGCTGGGCACGGAGACGTTCCGTGCGGCCGACTTGTCGGTGCTGCAGCGCCTCGACCTCTCCTTCAACAACATCTCGTGGGCGCCGGCAGACGCCTTCGCGCCCCTACACACGCTGCTCAGCCTCGAGGTGGTGGAGGGGGGGGTTGTCATGACCACCATGCTCACCACCACCAACCTCACCACCACCACCTCCACCACTACCCTCACCACCACCATCCTCACCACCACCAACCTCACCACCACCTCCACCACTACCCTCACCACCACCATCCTCACCACCACCAACCTCACCACCACCATCCTCACCACCACCAACCTCACCACCACCAACTTCACCACCACCTCCACCAATACCCTCACCACCACCTCCACCAATACCCTCACCACCACCATCCTCACCACCACCAACCTCACCACCACCAACTTCACCACCACCTCCACCAATACCCTCACCACCATCTCCACCAATACCCTCACCACCACCTCCACTACTACCCTCACCACCACCGCTATCACCACCTCCATCACCACCATCCTCACCACCACCATCCTCACCACCACCAACCTCACCACCACCTCCACCAATACCCTCACTACCACCGCTATCACCACTACCCTCACCACTACCACTATCACCACCATCCTCACCACCACCATCCTCACCACCACCAACCTCACCACCACCTCCACCAATACCCTCACCACCACCGCTATCACCACCTCCACCACCATCACCACCATCCTCATCACTTCCACCACCATCCTCACCACCACCTCCACCACTACGCTCACCACCACCGCTATCACCACCACCATTACCAACCATCCTCATCACTTCCACCACCATCCTCACCACCACCTCCACCACTATCAGCACCACCATCACCGCCACCATCCTCACCATCATCATCGGCATCACCACCACCTCCATCACCTCCATCACCACCACCACCATCCTCACTCTCTTCTCTCTCCCGTGGCGCGTGCAGCTCAACAACAACCGCCTGACGGCGCTCCCGGCCGGCGTGTTCTCCAACCTGAGCCACCTGCGAGTGCTCGACATCTCCAGCAACCTGGTGGAGAGCATCGCCCCGGGCGCCTTCAGCGGCCTCGTCAGCCTGCGCCTCCTCAACCTCTCCCGCAACGCCCTCGCCGCCCTCGCCAGCCTCGCCCGCCCCGCTGGCGTGCTCCCGGCAGGCGGCGGTGGTGGAAGAGATGCGGTGACGGTGGCGGTGGCGGCGGCGGCGGCATTGGGCACGACACCAGGACCGGAGGCAACGATGATTGGACCGTTCACTGGTGAGGTCGTGGTAGTGGTGGATGTGGTGGTGGTGGATGTGGTGGTGGTGGTGGATGTGGTGGTGGTGGATGTGGTGGTGGTGGATGTGATGGTGGTGGTGGATGTGGTGGTGGTGGTGGATGTGGTGGTGGTGGATGTGGTGGTGGTGGTGAATGTGGTGGTGGTGGGGGATGTGGTGGTGGTGGTGGATGTGGTGGTGGTGGTGGATGTGGTGGTGGTGGGGGATGTGGTGGTGGTGGTGGATGTGGTGGTGGTGGTGGATGTGGTGGTGGTAGTGGTGGATGTGGTCGTGGTAGTGGTGGATGTGGTGGTGGTGGTGGATGTGGTGGTGGTGGTGGTGGATGTGGTGGTGGTGGATGTGGTGGTGGATGTGGTGTTGGTGGATGTGGTGGTGGTGGTGGACGTGGTGGTGATGGTGGAGGTAGTCCATGGATGTGGTGCTGATGGAGGTGGTTTGTGCTGATGGTGGAGGTGGTGCTGAAGGCAGAGGTGGTGCTGATTGTGGAGGTGATGCTTATGGAGGTGGTGGTGCTGATGGTGGAGGTGATGCTTATGGAGGTGGTGGTGCTGATGGTGGAGGTGGTGCTGATGGTGGTGGAGGTGCTGACGGTCTTTGTATCCATCTCCATATTTCTGTGTATCTCTCCACGCCTCCCCCACCCTGGCCTGCCCCTCCTGCCCCTCCACAGGCCTGAGCCTGCGCTCCCACCTGGACCTGTCCCACAACCGCCTCTCTCAGCTCGGGCCCGGCGCTGACTGGGGCCTGGCTGGGCCCGGCTCCGTGAGACTCCACGGGAACCCCTGGGACTGCTCCTGTCGCCTGCAGGAGTTTGTGCTGTGGCTCAAGAACTCATCGTCGTTGTCGTCGTCGTCCACGGCGCCGTCATCGACGCAGGATGGTAATGCGGGCGCAGCGGGTCCTTGCTGAGCGCGCTGGTGGTGTGTCGTGGCAAGCGATAAAGTTCGGTGAGGTTACGATGTACTGCTACTACCACCTCGCACACCACGCAGTGAGATGGCGGGACTAATAACTGAGGGTGCGCCACCACTGCGTTGCTGTATCCTTCCGCGTACTGTATCACTGTACCGCTCAGCTGCGCAGCTCAAGAAAGTAGTTCGTCCGTCGACCGCTCAGAAACCGCATGATAACGACGCGTCTGCCGTGTTATAACAGAGTAAACGTTCCATGTTATAACAGAGTGCTTGTTCCACGTTGTAATAGGGTGAATGTTCCACGTTGTAACAGGGTGAATGTTCCACGTTGTAACAGAGTAAACGTTCCACGTTGTAACAGAGTGAACGTTCCACGTTGTAACAGGGTGAATGTTCCACGTTATAGCAGAGTGCTTGTTCCACGTTGTAACAGTGAACGTTCCACGTTGTAACAGGGTGAACGTTCCGTGTTATAACAGAGTGAACATTCCACGTTGTAACAGAGTGATCGTTCCACGTTATAACAGAGTGATCGTTCCACGTTGTAACAGTGAACGTTCCACGTTGTAACAGAGTGAACGTTTCGTGTTATAACAGAGTGATCGTTCCACGTTGTAACAGAGTGAACGTTCCGCGTTGTAACAGAGTAAACGTTCCACGTTGTAACAGAGTAAACGTTCCACGTTGTAACAGGGTGAACGTTCCACGTTGTAACAGAGTGAACGTTCCACGTTATAACAGGGTGATCGTTCCACGTTGTAACAGAGTAAACGTTCCACGTTGTAACAGAGTGAACGTTCCACGTTATAACAGGGTGATCGTTCCACGTTGTAACAGGGTGAACGTTCCACGTTGTAACAGAGTAAACGTTCCACGTTATAACAGGGTGATCGTTCCACGTTGTAACAGAGTAAACGTTCCACGTTGTAACAGAGTAAACGTTCCACGTTATAACAGGGTGATCGTTCCACGTTGTAACAGGGTGAATGTTCCACGTTGTAACAGTGAACGTTCCACGTTATAACAGGGTAAACGTTCCACGTTGTAACAGAGTAAACGTTCCACGTTGTAACAGAGTAAACGTTCCACGTTGTAACAGGGTGAACGTTCCGCGTTATAACAGGGTGAATGTTCCACGTTATAACAGGGTGATCGTTCCACGTTGTAACAGAGTGAACGTTCCGCGTTATAACAGGGTGATCGTTCCACGTTGTAACAGAGTGAACGTTCTTGCTTGCATTAAATGAATGCCTGGCGCGATAAGTGGCACAGTGCCGGCCTTCGTAGGCGCTTCTGCTCGCTGAGAGTTCTTGCCCCGACAGTCTGTGAGCGGCCACACGGGCGGCGGGACTTTTGTCTCTTTGTAGTTGAAGCTGCCAGGCGCGATGGAGGAGGAGGAGGAGGAGGAAACTCAAGCGAGGAGTTGGGGCCCATCATCACCGATGCCCTGCAACTTCTGTGCAACCTTCCTGCTGACCTCCGGTGCCCCCACAGAACCACACGTAGACAAAGACCCCCCCGCACCACCCCCGCCAGTAACAGGCTGTCGGCTGCAAGCGCTGTTAGCGAGCAGTGCCTGTGAAGGCTGCCGGCACCGCACTACACACCACGCTATACACTGCACTATACACTACTATACACTACACTATACACTACACTATACACTACACACCACGCTATACACTACACTATACACTACTATACACTATACACTACACTATACACTACACACCACGCTATACGCTACACTATACACTACTATACACTACACACCACGCTATACACTACACTATACACTACTATACACTACACACCACGCTATACACTGCACTATACACTACTATACACTACACTATACACTACACTATACACTACACACCACGCTATACACTACACTATACACTACTATACACTATACACTACACTATACACTACACACCACGCTATACACTACACTATACACTACACTACACTATACACCACACTATACACTACACTATACACTATTATACACTACTATACACTACACTATACACTACACACCACACTATACACTACACTATACACCATACTATACACTACTATACACTACACTATACACTACACTATACACTACACACCACGCTATACACTACACTATACACTACTATACACCACACTATACACTACACTATACACTACACTACACACCACGCTATACACTACACTATACACTACTATACACTATACACTACACTATACACTACACACCACACTATACACCACACTATACACCACACTATACACCACACTATACACTACACTATACACTACTATACACTACACTATACACCACACTATACACTACACTATACACTACACTACACACCACGCTATACACTACACTATACACTACTATACACTACACTATACACCACGCTATACACCACACTATACACTACTATACACTATACACTACACTATACACTACACACCACACTATACACCACGCTATACACTACTATACACTACACTATACACTACTATACACTACACTATACACTACACTACACACCACACTATACACCACGCTATACACCACACTATACACCACACTATACACTACTATACACTACACTATACACTACTATACACTACACTATACACCACGCTATACACTACACTATACACTACTATACACTACACTATACACTACACTATACACTACTATACACTACACTATACACTACTATACACTACACTATACACCACGCTATACACCACACTATACACTACTATACACTACACTATACACTACTATACACTACACTACACACCACGCTATACACTACACTATACACTACTATACACTACACTATACACCACGCTATACACTACACTATACACTACTATACACTACACTATACACTACACTATACACTACACTATACACTACTATACACTACACTATACACCACGCTATACACCACACTATACACTACTATACACTACACTATACACTACTATACACTACACTATACACCACGCTATACACCACACTATACACTACTATACACTACACTATACACTACTATACACTACACTATACACCACGCTATACACTACTATACACTACACTATACACCACGCTATACACCACACTATACACTACTATACACTACACTATACACTACTATACACTACACTATACACTACACTATACACTACTATACACTACACTATACACCACGCTATACACCACACTACACACCACGCTATACACTACACTATACACTACTATACACTACACTATACACCACGCTATACACCACACTATACACTACTATACACTATACACTACACTATACACTACACACCACACTATACACCACGCTATACACCACACTATACACTACTACACTACACTATACACTACTATACACTACACTATACACCACGCTATACACTACACTATACACTATTATACACTACACCATACACTACACTATACACTACACACCACACTATACACCACACTACACACCATGCTATACACTACACTATACACTACTATACACTACACTATACACTACACTATACACTACACACCACACTATACACCACGCTATACACCACACTATACACTACTATACACTACACTATACACTACTATACACTACACTATACACCACGCTATACACTACACTATACACTATTATACACTACACTATACACTACTATACACTACACTATACACTACACTATACACTACACACCATACTACACACCACACTACACACCACACTATACACCACGCTATACACCACACTATACACTATTATACACTACACTATACACTACTATACACTACACTATACACTACACTATACACTACACACCATACTACACACCACACTATACACCACACTATACACCACACTATACTATACACTACTATACACTACACTATACACTACACTACACACCACACTATACACCGCACTATACACCACACTATACACTACGCTATACACTATGCTATACACTACTATACACTACTATACACCACACTATACACCACACTATACACCACACTATACACTAAACTACACACCACACTATACACTACACTATACACCACACTATACACTACACACCACACTATACACTACACACCACACTATACACTACTATACACCACACTATACACTACACTATACACTACTATCAACCACACTATACACTATACACCACACTATACACTACTATACACTACACTATACACTACACTATACACCACACTATACACTACACTATACACTACACTATACACTACACTATACACTACTATACACCACACTATACACTACACTATACACTACTATACACCACACTATACACTACACTATGAACCACACTATACACTACTATACACTACACTATACACTACACTATACACCACACTATACACTACACTATACACTACACTATACACTACACTATACACTACACTATACTACACTACTACACTACACTATACACTACACTATACACCACACTATACACTACACTTTACACCACACTATACACTACACTATACACTACACTATACACCACACTATACACTACACTATACACCACACTATACACAACACTATACACCACACTATACACTACACTATACACTACACTATATACTATACTATACACTACACTATACACTACACTATACACCACACTATACACTACACTTTACTCCACACTATACACTACACTATACACTACACTATACACCACACTATACACTACACTATACACCACACTATACACCACACTATACACCACACTATACACTACACTATACACTACACTATACACCACACTATACACTACACTTTACACCACACTATACACTACACTTTACACCACACTATACACTACACTATACACTACACTATACACCACACTATACACCATACTATACACCACACTATATACTACACTATACACCACACTATACACTACACTATACACTACACTATACACTACACTACACACCACACTATACACTACACTATACACCACACTATCACTACACTATACACTACACTATACACCACACTATACACTATACTAT